GTGTCCTTCTGTGTCGTCTGTCAGGATGCTGGTGGATAACTGGTCCAGTAGGCTGACGCAGTGGTTCGGTCGGCAGGAGTTTGTGGTTCCCTCCAACGTTCTGGGGCTGGTTTACGGTCAGACTGTGGTCTGGACCGGAGCTCTGTTCTGTCCTCTGCTGCCGCTCATCAACACCATCAAGTTCGTCTGCCTCTTCTACTGCAAGAAGGTGACGCTTCGCCTCGGCCGACATCTCTCACAGATCCTGCTGCTTTGGTTTCTCATCCGGCTTCACTCTTTGTCTGTTCCTGTGCAGATCACACTCTTCCAGAACTGTCGACCAGCCGTGAAGACGTTCCGGTCCACCACCTCCAACTTCTTCTTCCTGTTCGTGCTGCTGCTGGGCCTCGGCCTCGCCACGCTGGTCATGATCTACAGCCTGGCTGTGTGAGTGCCGACGGCCGCAGACGGTGGAGTTCTGTCGGAGGGGTTTGTGTGACAACAATCTTGTTTCCTTCTTTCCGAACAGGATCCATCCCTCTTTGGCTTGCGGTCCTTTCCGATTCCTCCCCAACATGTGGTCGACTGTTCCGACTTCTTTCTACAACCTGCCTGACGTCGCTCAGGAGTTTCTCTTCTTCGTCGGCTCGCAGGCTTTCAGCATCCCTCTGTTCACTCTGTCATGGTGAGTAGCATCATCACACCGGCATACAGAGCAGATACATCAGTTGTCAGCTGTTTTGATCATCCATTCATTTCTTAGAATAACAACAGTCTCAACTCTGTGACTCTTAAGTGTTCATATTTTCTGGTGTCTCTCCTCCTCTGTGACAGTTAGCTGAATATCTGTGGACAACACAAGACATTCGAGGAAACACTGATCCACACTTTTCACCATTTTCTGACATTTTGGAGACCAAATAACAAATTAATAACCCAGAAAATGATCACCAATGGAAATAATCGTTATTTGCGGCGCTGATAAACGGTGTCGTTCTGTAAACTCAGCAAAAAAATCGACTTTATTGGCCGAGTACATGAACACATAGAAGTAATTTGACTCTTTGCTTTGACACAGAATAGAGAACATGTAAAAGTGACAGCAGAAGGAAAACGAGTGTTTAATGTGCACAGCTATGTTATGTGTAAAAGAACGTGAGAGTTTTATTGCAAAAATAACAGAAAGCCCAAGTTCAGTGCAAACACAGTCTTTAAACAACAAATGCAAAGTTGTTGACACCGTACATACACAGGATGCAGACTTTATGTGGAGTTCATCTTGTGTTTCATGGTTCTTTCATGTCGTCTCTCCTGGCAGTGTGGTGCTGTGCTACGTCATCGCCTTAGCGTCTGTCTACGGCAAAACTGTTGCACTGCTCAGAACTCAGCTTAAACTGGTACGTTGTTGGATTTTACCTTTTACAGTCTTGATATAAATCAGCGAGTTGGACGCTGAAAGCAAACCTGCAGGCTTTTAAACCCGCTGGCGTTTGGTTCACAGGAGGGCCGAGACAAGCAGTTTCTGGTCAAACAGTACGAGAAGCTGCGACGACAACTCCAGATAGCAGAAGACAGCGCAGGACTCTGAACACGACATCAGGACCACGTTCACGTCACACAACCGTCTCTATGATCTGAACAACATGACGAGCCGGCTGGAAGGACTCAGTCTGCTTTAATGCACCACAGATGTTCATCAGCTCTTTAGAAACACTTAAAAAATTGAAATTAAAACCTGCTTATTATCAACCTACCTAAGATATTGGGTTAAATTCTACACATTTCATGCATCTTCAATGCATCTGCAAGCTCATTCCTTTGGTCTGTCCATGAAAAAAAGATTTGTACAGTTGAGA